TTCAATATTCTTATGCTACCACCAGCAACCCATATCTAAACATATGTATCCAGGTTCTGAGATAACATAAACCATATAAATCTCCATAAGTTTCCACATACATTAAATATAAAATGATTTAAAATATTAAAAACAAACAGTAAATGGTTTTATGGTACTGGGGAGGGGAAAATGGAAAGTTGTTTAATAGGTAGAGAGATGACCGGCCAGTTTGATTCAGTGGATTTAGTGTCATACCAGGGACTCAGAGAGCCTAGTTCGATTCCTGGTCAGGGCACATGCCCAGGTTGTGGGCCTGATCCCCAGTGGGAGGCATGCAGGAAGCGGCCAATCAATATTCTATCATCTCTCTCCCTCTCCCTTCCTCTCTCTCTACAAAAATCAATAAAAACATATTTTAAAAAATAGGATTTTAGCCCAGCTGGTGTGGCTCAGCACCAATCCATGCACCAAGAGGCTGTCGGTTCAATTCCCGGTCAGGGCATATGCCCAGGTTGTGGGCCAGATCCCTGGTGGGGGGCATGCAGGAGGCCACCAATCAATGCTCTCTCTCATTGATGTTTCTGTCTTTCTCTCCCCGTCTCTCTTCCTCTCTTTCTAAAATCAATAAAGAATAAATTTTAAAAAATAAAATCAAAAAAATAAATTTAAAAAAATATATGATTTTAGAGAGAGAAGAAGGGAGGAGAGAAACATTTATGAGAAAGAACATTGACTGGCTGCCTCCTGCATGCCTGCTACTGGAGATTGGGCTCACAATCTGGGCATGTGCCCTGTCCGGGAACCAAACCAGCGACTTCTTGATGCATGGGTCAACACTCAACCAGGCAAGAAAATATTTTATTGTATAATACTGTCTTGATAACAATGCAATCAGAATATTTTTATTACTTTTTAACAGAGAAAGAGACCCAGGAAGGCAAAGGTACCAAATGTCCAAGAAAGTTAAAATGTGGCCCTGATGCTATGTAAAACATTCTTGAAGATAAACCATACGCAAGAATAAATATTGAGTGTTTGATATTTAAAAACAAACTTCAATATTAGAATGCTACCACAATTATTAATCATTTTCAACAATTCTTTATTAACAAAAGCTGTAAAAAAAATACTGCATTTACATAAATAAATAATTTAGGAGGATTTAAAGGAACTAGGGAGCAATACTTGTCAAGAGATGAAAAAAATAAGTGGAAGAAAAAAAAGAAAGACAACAAAAGAGGAAGGGAAAAAAAAAATACTGATTAAAAGGACAAATAGAACCACCTCTCATTATTTAAATTAGTAAAGTTGAAAATACTAAGTAAATTTATACAGCTAGCATAATGTCAATTAAAATCCCCAAAAGGACAACTAAAACATTAAGAAATATACTGAGAGTATTTTGTCTGAATTTTAAAGAAAAGAAAATGAGCATGTACCTAAACCTATAGATAGATTTTTCAAAAAGACAAATAGTTTTTAAAGTTACAAATTAGTACATCTTAAATATATATGGACAACGTGGATGAACCTGGAGGGCATTGATGCTAAGCAAAATGAATCAAGAAAGACAAATACTTTATGATTGACAGGTGTAATATAAACAACTCAGAAACAGAGAACAGAGGGGCAAAATGGGTGAATGTGGTCAAAAGGTACAAACATCTAGTTATAAAATAAGTAAGTTCTGAGGATGTAATGTATGGCATGGTGAGTATAGTTACAATACTGTATTGTATAAATGAAAGTTGCTGAGAGTATAGATCTTAAAAGTTATCACAAGAAAAAATAGAGAAAAGTAAACAAATGTTTGTAGTGTAATATTAACATGAAGAAAAACAAACTGATCTCTTCGTCTTTATTATACATGATACAGAATTTCAGATGAATTACATATTTATTTTTTAACTAGAAAAATATGGACTGTTTCTAGTAACGAAAGGCAGTGTGTCTTTTCATGTCAAGCAACTAACCAAATTATCATAAAAGTATCTACAAAATGAAGGACACCAAAGTAAAGATAAAAAGAAAACCAACGGTGGAAAAAAGAGAGAAGGAACTGTACAACTGAAATGCTAGATAAACGTTTTATCTCCAAAATATATAGGGATGGAGCTAGGTCGATATCCACTTCCCAACAAACCGTCACAGAGGTGCACCCATTTAACCACATTTATAAACACTACACACACACACACACACACACACGTATATATATAGATCTCATACTCAAAACAAGCCCCCTATAAAGAAGATAATATTTTCATTATGTAGCAAACTAGAAAGGTAAGTTACTTATCCAATATAACTAGTTAGGAGGTAACAGGGAGGATTTGAATCCAGGCAGTCTCACTCCAGAGTCCATGCTCTCAACCACTAAGCTACTTGTTTCTTTCCTCTGTATAACAAAAATTCATGGACCTTTCATTCTACAAATCTAAGTCTACTAAACAGCTATAAATTACTATCATAAAAGGCAAAACAAGGAAGAATAGTTTTGGTATGGTGCTTTAAGGATTCAGAGGACCATAAGATGATTTTCAGTAAAGGGGATGAGGAAAGACTTTATTGAAGAAATAAATATCTATGCTGGATCTGGAAGACATAGAGACAGAACATGGTAGAAGAAAATACTCCATACTGAAGAAATAGAATGACCAACAGCACTAAACTAAGGTAGAAAAGCACTGACAAATCAAATGCTTGAGTTGAAAAGAATGGTGCAAATGGAAGTGGAAAGAAATGCCAGGTGAATTCACAAATCTAGGCATGGTCAAGAATGTGGTAACTAATGTCTCAAGTAAAAGGCAGGGAAGCAATAGAAATACAGAAAAAGGAATGGCCCTGGCCAGTTTGGCTCAGTGGTTGGAGCGTCAGCCCTCAGACCAGGGAGTCTCAGGTTCGATTCTGGTCACAGGCACATACCTTGGTTGAGGTTCTGGGGTGCTATAGGAGGTGGCCAATAGATGTGCTTCTCTCACATCAATGTTTCACTCTCTCCCCTGCACCTCCCTCCCACTCTATCTGAAAATCAATGGTGAGGATTTTTTTAAAAAATTAATAAAAAAAGGAATGGATATATAGCACACAGTGCTACTCAAATTTCAATTATATTAAGGAACTAACAAGGTCAGAAAGAACAAGACTTAGTATATGAATATTTGTCTTTACTGATTTTAGAGAGAGGAAGGGATAGGGAGATAGACATCGATGAGAGAACATCAATTGGCCATCTCCTGCATGCCCCACACTGGGGATCTGGCCCACAACCTGGGCATGTGCCCTGACTGGGAATTGAACCAACGACCTCTTGGTGCACAAGTCAATGCTCAACCATTGAGTCACACTGGCCAGGCAAAGACTTAGTACATTAAATATAAAGACCAGAAAGGGGATGGAGAAGGCCACATTTTTGGGAACCTTACACACGAAGCATAGTAGGTGCCTAAAAGGGCTAAAGTGAAGGGGTTAAAAAGACTTGAAGACAAACTACTCCAGCGGGTTTGGCCATATTCAAGATCTTAACTAAAGAGACTTTATAACATTCTAAAGGATATTGTGGAGGTGGAATGAAAGAATGACTGAGGTTTTAAATGCAAATAAAAGAATAATCTCATTAACAGAAACAGAAAACAAAGAAGGAAAAGTAGGTTTAAAGATAAAAGAGACACAAGGTCAGGTTTATAGATGGTGAGATTAAGGCTTATACAGTATGATTATCCAGAAATAATACTGTGTTCACAGAACTAGTGATTGGGTAAGAAAAATTAAAGCTTAATATACATATATCACCTATATAGAGATACCTGAAAGTTGTCATATTTCAAAAGAAGACGCATTAGAAAAGAAAAAACTATTGGATCAAAGGAAGTTTAAGAAATTACCTATATTTAGAAGGGAAAGAACAGCCAAAAGAGGTACATAAGAGGTTAAGATCGCCACCAGAAGAATCAAGTATAATGCAGCAGCTGTCCCTAACACTTTTCACATAAAAGTACATGAGTAAGATAACATGTGTGAGGCATCAATGCTTAAGTAATGGATGTTATTAGCCCAGGAATTAAGAAAATCATTAATCTATATAGTTAATCCACTCACTGAACGGTTTAGAAAGCTCTGTATTTCGCAAAAGCCCATATGCCAAAAAGTGCCTTTTTTTAATCCTCACCCAAGGACATTTTTCCATTTTTTGTTCAGATAGAATGGGAGGGAGACAGAGGAAAAGAGAGAGAGAGAGAGAGAGAGAGAGAGCGTGCGACGTGAAAGGGACACATGGAGTGGCTGCCTCCCGCATGACCCCAACTAGGGCCGGGGACAAACTGCAACCGAGGTGCGTGCCCTTAGTGGGAACCAAACCTGGGTCTCTCTTGACCACAGGCCAATGCTCTAACCATGGAGCAAAACCGGCCGGGGCTCCCTAACTAAAGTGCCTTTTTCAAGTTGTCACCGATCAGCTGGGAAGAATGTTGCAGATGTGACAAAGAAGAAAAGAACTCAGAAATGACCACCAAACTTTGTAACTGAGAAGTCCCTGATGACTTGAAAAATCAGTGAAAAAAGCTAGATTTCAGGAGGAAAAGAATGATTAATTAAAGTAGCAGCAATATTTTTAACAGTCATGTTACTCTAATTGATTATAAGTAACCTAAATAGGATGATTCTTCAAATCTTTCTAGAAAAAACTTTCTTAAATTATAATTGTATGCCTGGCCAGAGTGGCTCAGTGGACTGAGAATCGTCCTAAGGACTGAGAAGTCCCAGTTCAATTCCCAGTCAGGGCACATGCCTGTATTTCGGGCTTGATCCATAGTAGGGGGCATGCAGGAGGCAGCCAATCAATGTTTCTCTCTCCTTTCCTCTCTCTCTAAAAAAAAAAAAAAATTAATATAACATATTTAAAAAATTAAATAAATAAATAAATTATGATTGTAATATGTTCTATCTTCTTATCCTTGTTTTATTCATATTAATAAAAATGAAAAATGAATAAAAATCCTTTGAAACTTTGCAATACTTACCCAGTGCGAGACTGACCAACTTTGTCACAAATATCCAAAATGAGGCCCCAATCCTCAGCAGTATTCATCTCACTGGTTGCTTTCTCTGTATATTATAAAAAGAAATTGCAGAAATATTATTGTTTAAAAATCTTTAAGAGGTAAATAATCAGATTCACATCATCAAACTGTATAACCAAATATCAACAACACAAATCATAATAATTGCTAGCAGTCTGATAAATGAGATGTTCAAGTCCATCTTTAAAAGAAAGGAAGGGCACTTTTATTATCTATCACAATTATTTTCCTCATTTACATTTAAGTTGCTTGTTACTTAGTATAAAAAACAAGCCATTGATTTTTCTTTATTAAAATAATTATATACAGGTCTATCTCTTTCTACACATAGAAAGACAAAAATAAAAAATATTTTCATTATCAAATAATTCTTAGCTTTACTTGCCAGTGAAGGAACATGACTAGGCACAGATCTCTATAAAATGTTTCAGGTAATTAGATTAATTACCTACATTTGATTTGGGGTTCTGATAAGGAGAAATTGAACAAAAGAAAAATAAACTTTAACTGAGTATTTCCCTTAAACAAAAACCTGACAAATTAAAGATATCAAAAGAGGGAAAACAGGAGAAATAGTAACAGCAACAATACCTCAAAAGCTTTGTAATAATGTAGATACATGATAACCTACTCAGAAGACCAAGAACGGTAAATCATATATTGGCAGTAAGAAAAAAAGCATAGCCCTGGCTGGTCTGACTCAGAGGTTAGAGCGTACAGACCAGAGAGACCCAGGTTCAGTTCCCACTAAGGGCACATACCTCGGCTGGGGTCATGTGAGTGGTAACCAGTCGATGTGTCTCTCTCACATCAATGTTTCTCTTTCTCTCTTCCTTCCTCTCTCCCTCCCGCTCTATCTTAAGATAAATGCAAAAATGTCATTGGGTGAGGATAAAAAAAAAATTTTTTAAAGAAAAAAAAGGGTAAGAATCAACCTGTTTTATACCAATGAATTCTCAGAAAATTCAAGTATTGGTAGCAAAAGGAAGTCTGCAATTGAGAGTGAAGAATAAAGAAGACTTAAAGTTAGGTATAATGGGTTAATGCTGTTTGAAATGTAGGTAGGGCTTAGAAATTCATCATTCCATTCTAATAAGGACTAAAAAAGTGAAAAATTACCAACTCTTCTTCGATCCCTCAGAAGTGAGGTCACTGCCCCCAAAATTAGAAACACAGATAGGTAGATACACAGAATCACAACTAAGAGCAGAAACCCATAAGTGGAAACCAATACCAGGGCATGAAAATCTAAACAGTAACAAATTGCTGGAGAGCTATCCATGTTCACTGATAGAAGACTCAGTATTGTTAAGATGTCAGTTCTTCCCAACTCAAAATGGATCATAGATATAAATGTATAACAACCTATAAAACACCTAGAGCCTTGGCCGGTGTGGGTCAGTCAGTTGGGCATTGTCCCATGCAACAAAAGGTTGCTAGTTTAATTCCTGGTCAGGGCACAGGCACCAGTTGCAGACTCGATCCCCGGTAGGAGACATGCAGGAGGCAGCTGACCAATGTTTTGCTCTCACATTGAAATCTCTCTCTCTCTCTCTCTCTCTCTCTCTCTCTCTCTCTCTCTCTCTCTCTAAAAATCAGTTAAAAATAAAAAAGAAGAAGAAAAAAACTAGAAGACAACACAGGATAAAATCTAGATGACCTGAGTATAGCAATGACTTTTTAGATATAACACCAAAGACATGATCCATGAAGGAAATAACTGATAATATGGATATCATTAAAATTATAAACTTCTGTTGTCTGTAAAGAAAATCAGATGATAAGCCACAAACTAGGGGAAAATATTTGCCAAACATATCTGATAAAGGACTGAGATCCAAATAATATAAAGACCTCTTAAAACTCAATGATAATAATTCAATTAAAAAACAACCAAAAGACCTGAACAGGCACCTCACCAAAGAAGACCTACAGATATCAAATAAATATCTGAAAAGATGCTCCACATCATGTCATTAGGGAATTACAAATTAAAACAACAGTAAGATATCATTACACACCTATTAGAATGGCCAAATTCAAAACACTAACGTCAGCATATGCTCGTGAGGATGTAGAACAGGAACTTGTCCTCATTGCTAGTTAAAATGCAAAATGGTACAGACACTTTGGAAGACATTTTGACAGTTTCTTATAAAACTAAACATTCTTATCATACATCTCGGTATTTACTCAAAGGAGTTGAATCATGTCCATTCAAAAACCTGCACATGTAAACGTTTTTGGCAACTTTATTCATAATTGCCAAAACTTGGGAGCAACCAAGATGCCCTTCAGTAGGTGAGTAAAACTGTGGTAGCATCAGGATAATGAAATATTTTTCAGTGCTAAAAAGAAATGAGCTATCAAGCAAAGAAAAGACAAATTTTAAATGTATACTATTAAATAAGCTTCCCTGAAAAGGTTACTAGTACATGTTTCTAACTACATAACATTCTAGAAAAGGCAAAGCTATATGAAGACAGTAAAAGGATGAGAGGTTGTCAGAAAATAGGGGGGGAGTGAGATGAATAAGGGGAGCACAGAAGATCTGTAGGACAGTGAAACTACTCTGTATTTTACAACGTTGGATACATGTCATTATACATTCATTTCCCAAAACCTTTAAAATGTGTAACACCAGCCCTGGCCGGTTTGGTTCAGCAGTAGAGGGTTGGCCCACAGACCAATGAGTCGCGGGTTCGATTCCGGTCAATGGCACATACCTCAGTTGTGGCTTATCTCTGGCCCTGGTTGGGATTGTGCGGGAGGCAATCAGTTGATATGTCCCTCTCACGTCCGTGTTTCTCTCTTTCTCTCTCTCTCTCTCTCTCTCTCTCTCTCTCCCCCCACTCCCCCTCTCTTCCTCCCTCCCACTCTATCTAGAGATAAATAGAAAAATATCCTCAGGTGAGGATTAAAAAAATAAATAAAAATTTAAAAATACAATGTGTAACACCAAGAGTGAACATTAGTGTACACTATGGACTTTGGGTGATGATGGGTGTTGGTAGGTTTCACAATTTAACAAATGTTACCAGTCTGTTGCAGGATATTGAGTTGGGGGGGGGGGGCTGTGTGCATGTGTGGGGGCAGGAGATATAAGGGAAATCTCTGTACCTTCTGCTCAATTTTCCTGTGAATCTAAACTGCTCTAAACTATAAAGTCCATTTAAAAAAATATTAATAAAGGAATTAAGCAACTATATGAAGGCTAATACCTGCTGTGCAGAAAAGAGTTAAAATAAGTATCCTTTAAAAGGCCTGCTTACAAGCTTCGGCTAGTGGATGGAAATTAAGATTTCAGGAGGGTTCCCACCATTTTCAGAACGGAGAAGAGTGGCTCACTATATCTAAACTGGTTGTACAAACAATATGCTTTATGCTAGACACCTGCTTTCCCTCTGAGAGTCTGGAATCTGGGTATCTGCCAGGCAGAGTGTGCCTACATAATCAGGTCTCAATAAAACACCCAGACACCAAGTCTACAACAAACATCTCTGGATGACATTTCATACGTCATCACAACTCACTGCTGGGGGACTTCTGCATGTCTTGTGTGACTCCCACTAGGAGAGGAACCTAGGAAGCTTGTGCAGGGTTTCCCTGGACTTCACCAGATGTGCCCTTTTCATTTTGCTGATTGCACATTGGGTCCTTTTGTTAAAGGGCAATGAAAAGTTAGAAAAATTCCAGGGCAGGAGGAATAGGGAAACTGAGACAAAAAGTTAAAACAAGGCCAAACAGTGTGGGCAATTTGCAGCCAGCTTGTAAATAACAAGCCATTATCTTCCCCAAACCAAGGACACTTGAGAACAAATGGTTAAAAGCCTCCCTAACAGGAGAATGCAGGAAAGGAGGTGGGAAGAAGAAAGGAAAAACGGGCAATTTTATTCATTTTTTATTCTCTAAACAGAAAAACCAGCAGTCTCAAGGCTTAGCAAGATAAAACTGCCAAGTGCTTTTCATGAATTCTGGGAAGGTCGCAACAAAGTAAAAGGGGACCTTGAAAATTAATCTATACCAAAATATTCACCTGAGAAATTTCAAAACTTTTAGACAGGAGGGTATATAATGCCTCAAATCCCCACCCAACTCACTCTTCAGATTAGCTGAGAGTCCACCCGCACATATTATGCTGGATGATAAATTTGTTTGCTTGCTTTAATAAATTGGCTTTATCACAATGCAATCACCTGGAGTCACTCATTTAAGTTCATTTATACAAGCATGACAAGAACCGAGGTGGGGACAGCCTTCTCCCTCTGATTCAGGGGGGTGTCCGATAATACCTCTCTGGTGTCTGCAAAAGGTGCCTGTCACGCTTTCACTATAATAAGTCATAGCTGCCCTGGACAGTGTGGCTCAGTTGTTTGGAGCGTTGTCCTGTGCACCAAGGATCACAGGTTCAATTCTCAGTCGGGACACATATCCATGGAGCAGGTTCAATCCCTGGTCAGGGTGCATATGGGAGGCGATTAATTGATGTTTCTTTCCCTATCTATCTCCCTTCTTCTCTAAACTCAATGAAAAACATATGCTCAGGATGTTTTTTAAAATAAAATAAAAATAAATAAATCACAGCTGAGAGTATGACTATATGTCAAGTCCTGTGAGTCCTGGTAAACCCTAGAATAAGGGTTGGTATTAGGGTCCTCCCTCCAAATACCTGCCCTCTCAGAAATTATCCTATTCCATGCCCTTATCTTCATTCATACCTTTACTCTCAGAGAGAAGGATCACAAGACTCTTAGCTCAAAAGGAAAAACCTAAAGATATGGGGGAATGGAGAGATTCCACACCAGAGCAACCTATAATGAAGTTCTAAGTCAATAAAGCCTAACCAGAGTTTCCAATGTGCTATTTATTTCTATAGTATTAATCATGAGCAGACAACCAAGGACTGTCAGCTTTCTGAGAAAATCTAACATGGAAGATAAAGACAGATAAAATGAATATGGGGTTGGGGGAGGAAACAGAAGCAACTTAGCAACAAGAGCCTATGTAGGAAGAAAAAAATCTTCA